GCAGATGGCAACATGAATATTGATACATCCTCAACTTATCCCAGAGTGAGGGGTTCTAAGGCATGCTGGGTAACTGTATATATTCAATGAGCACATGGGGCTCTGGGTCTTTCCTGCATAGGATTGTCCAACATTGCCCTCCCAGGCATCTACTGCCGTGCGGCCTCAGGTGGGTGACCTGAGAGCTGGAATACTAAAATTTGGATTCTGCTACACTGAAGAGGCTGTCTCCTGAAGATCTGGATCACAGAAGAAGACATCCAGCTGCTCTTGGGCCTTGTAAGTACAGACATCCCTAAAGGATCTTAGAGGCTGTGTGCTGTTTAGCTCCCTTTGGTGCTAGAAAGTCAGCTGGGGTTCTATAGCAAAGGGAACACTGGCTGGTGTTACGAAGAGCTTTGTTCACCTGGTCTGCTTTTAAAGGGACATTTCTCTGGGCCTAGTTACTACTACTACTGCTACTACTACTACCACTGTTACTACTATCACTACTACTTTGTTACTACTGCCTTAAAGCTGAAGTCCACTGTTTGATTCCAGCACAGTCTGACATTGCTTTCCCTGAAAATTAGACAAGTCCTAAATGTATATAGTTCCTGTTTTTGAAATATCCCACTCATTTCTCTCATCCCTATCCCAATTCTTCAAAAATAAAAAAACAAAAAAAACAACACTCCTAGAATGATTGTTGGAGAAACGTGTGAATGAGCCTATGTGCCTGACTGTGGGGCAATGTAACTGGAGAGTACCGGAACAGTATTTCACTTAAACAAATTCATTGAGTCAGTTCACTTAACCTCAATAGCGGTATTCCCGAGTGTAGCTCGGGGTAGAATTTCAGTACCAAAAGCGGTAACCCCGAGCTACACTCGGGCTTACCATGCAGTGTTGCATAGGGAGTCCCTGCAGCGCTTACCTTGTCCTTCGCTCCCGCGATGTGTCCCCTGCAGCGTCCCCGGCCATCTCCTCCGGCTGATGCCGGCATCCGGCTTCCATGTTCCAGTCCCTGTGACGTCGGGACGTACGGGCGCCAGAACCGGCGGCAAATTTGAAATTTTAAAAAAATGTCATTTTTTTTTTAAAATGATTATTACATAGTAAAACATTGCTGTTTCAATGCATTTTATATACATTTTGTCCCGAGTGCTTTGTCCTGTCCCCTGCCTGCATTTTGACTGTTCTTTCTGCCTGGAAACTTAGAAAAGTACATGGCGTCCAAAAAGCGTCCCTTTATGTCAAAATCGGTTTTAGACCAGGTAGAGAACAGCGATAGTAAATCAGAACCACTTGCAGAATTGAGTGATATTGATTCATGGGGAAATTCTTCATCAGACACCGAAAGCAATTCTGCGACTTTGCTCAGCGATGTGCAAACTTGGCGCTATATTTCAAATTTCAGTGTTTTGGGTTTGATTATATTATTTAATTAAATTTATTATTATTATATTATTATTATTTTTTATGATTATTTATTAAATTATAATTAATGATTTTGTGTTTCAAGTTTTATCATATCCGGAATGTTTACTAGACTCTTGTTCGTACAGATTTCAGTGAGTTATTCCTAAATTACAGGCCTACAATAAAAAAAAATATATATTTTCCATGCAAAAAAATAGTACTGCTTTCAGCACCAAAAAACTGAAATAATCATACTGCTAGGGAGGTTAAACAAATTCAAAATACAGCAAAGGAGATGCAACCAGCCAGCCATCCAATTTTCTCTGGTCAGCCAATAGGATTAAAGGCAGTAGCAGTAATCTTAAACCTCTGCCAATCCCTCAAAAGGCATAAGCCAAAAAAGAGGTATAAACTTCTTCCTTTTAGAATATTTCCGCTGCTAACAGGAGAATCATTTAGGTTAATCAGTCACCCTACAAAAAAGATCATGAGTGCCCTTTAACAAAGGAAAAAGAAGCAAAAGGTGCATGTTCTAAAAAAAATCTCAACATATTTCACTCCAAATAAGAGCTTCATCCAGAGTAATAAATAAATGCTAACTCGTGAAAAAAGGTCTAACTGCACCCAAAATCCACATGGCATCAATGACAAGCAAACAAAAAGGGCTCTATTTATAATCTATGTGGTCAAAATGGCCTCCATGTCCCCTACACGATGATGTCACCATGCATGTTTACGTCATGATGTCAGCACGCACGTGCATCATGATGTCATCATGTCATACCACCCGCACCTTCATGGTTAAAATCCAGTGCCTTCTAACGGACCGAAAGGAGATTGCAGCAGAGTAAAGGTGTTTGATAAAAAAAAAAAAAAAGGCTCCGCTCTCTTCGCAGGCTCCCGCCGTCTGACTGCTCCCCTGCCTTGACAGTTCTTAAGTATGTAAGGGGCAGGGCCACCCAGTGACATCACACATGTGACCCCGTCCCTTGTGACATCATCAACCGGGGCATGCCGGGTCAATGATGTCATACAGGGGTGGGGTCACATACGTGATGTCACTCGGCGGCCCCACCCCTTAGATATAACTGTCAAGCCAGTGGAGCTGTCAGATGGCGGGAGCCAGCGTTGAGAGAGGCATTGGTAGCGGCATTGGCGGGCATCGTGACTGACGTTGGATCTACTTTGGAAGACATTCTTTTAATTTCCTTCTTTTAATAAAGGACTTGTCAAAGACTGTCTCCTGTCTTTTTTCACACTACAGTTTTTTTTTTTCTGTTATTGGGTAGCGGTACCATGTACCCGATACTCATTCACATGGGGGGCAGGATCTGGGGGCCCCCTTGCTAATGGGGGCTTCTAGATTCCAATAAGCCCACTGCCCACAGACCCCCACAACTACCGGCCAGGGTTGTGGGGAAGATACCCTTGTCCCCATCAACATGGGGACAAGGTGCTTTGGGGGGAGCACCCCCTGCCACTAAGCATCCCCCCATGTTGAGGGCATTTGGCTTGGTATGGTTCAGGAGGGGGGTGCTCGCTCATCACCCCTCCTCTCCTGACCTGCCAGGCTGCATGCTCGGATATAGGTCTGTTAAAGATTTTGGGGGGACCCCCTGCCACAAAGCACCCCCCCATGTTGAGGGCATGTGGCCTGGTATGGTTCAGGAGGGGGGTACTCGCTCATCACCCCCCCTTTCCTGACCTGCCAGACTGCATGCTCAGATAAAGGTCTGTTATAGATTTTGGGGGGACCCCACACCATTTTTTTTTTATTTTGAAGTGAGAGTTCCCCTTAAAATCCATACCAGACCCACAGGGCTTGGCATGGATGGAGGGGGGACCCCACACCATTTTTTTATTATTTTTTAATTGCCAGCAATTTTTTTTTTTCAGCTGTCAGTGGGGAACCCCGCTGACAGCTGATTATTTATAGGTTGTTAAGGACTTTGCGGGCACCCATTCCTTAACAACACATGGCAGTACTGATAGATACCAGTACATACCACATGCCTGGACCACTACTTATGTGTTTAATTATTTATTTCCTTTTGTGAATTGACTTTAAGATCTTTTAATGCGGTATTTACTGTGTGTTTTTGCTATTTTTGGAAAATAGTGAATACTAGCAATAGTGAACTGACATTTTCAGTATTGTATGCGATATTTGGTCATGTGACTGACTTAACTCATGCAATAAGCTTTTGTGAATTGTGCCCAGTATTCCCATCCCACTGTCTGCATGGTTTTTGTATTGCGTTACAGCCACATATTTCATTAGAATCAATTTACTAATAGATACTAACAGAGACTGTTTACCTAGCAAAGTAAATGTTTGTAAATAAGGCTGACATATTTGCACCTTATTTACTAGTACAACCTTTGTGCCTTCAACCCCTTCTCACCTGCCCTGGAATCTCTTTAAACAGTTTGGCATGCCCAGGGGGTGGGAAATATCAATCATGTGAGCACTCTCATAGAGGAACATTACTTGATTTCCCTATCCACACATTCGAGATGGATGAGGGAATCCCTCCTGTTGGTAGTATTGTATTCAGAGAGTGAGGAAGAGTCTGCAACAGCAACACAGGCAGACATTTAAAAATTGCTTATTATCCACTTCAGCTCTGGAAGGTTTTACCCCCTTCATGACCAGGACACCTCTTGGTATACCTCACTACAATAACTAATAACTGCGCGGTCATGCAATGCTGTACCCAAACGAAATTTATATAATTTTCTCACACAAATAGAGCACTCTTTTGGTGGTATTTGATCACCACTGGGTTTTTATGATATAAATGAAAAAAGACTGAAAATTTTGGAAAACAAAAACAATATTTTGTACGTTTTGCAATAAAACATATCCAATTAAAAATTAAGAAAAATCAAATTTCTTCATACATTTTGGCCAAAATGTATTCTGCTATGTCTTTGATAAAAAAAATCCCAATAAGTGTATATTGACTGATTTGTGTGATAATGCCTACAAACTATGGTATATGGTGGAATTTTGTTTTCATACTACTAATGGCGGTGATCAGTGATTTTTAATGGGGCTGCAGTAGTGTGGTGGGCAATCTGAAACTAACTGTCACTGATATCACTAGTGACATTAATACAGTGATCAGTGATAATACGAGTCCTTAACCACTTGCCTACAGGGCACTTATATCCCCTTCCTGCCCAGGCCAGTTTTCAGCTTTCAGTGCTGTCACACTTTGAATGACAATTGCGCGGTCATGCAACTATACCCATATGAAATTTTTAGCATTTTTTTAAATAGATAGAGCTTTCTTTTGTTGGCATTTAATCACCTCTGGGTTTTCTATATTTTTGGCTAAACAAGCCAATAACAACTGAAAATTAAAAAAAAAATGTTTTTTCTTAGTTTTTGCTATAACATTTTGTAAATAAGTGATTTTTCTCCTTCATTGATGTGCGCTAATGAGGTTGCAGTGATGGGGCACTGATAGGCTGCACTGATGGGCACTGATAGGCACTGATGAGGAGGCACTGGTAGGTGGCACTGATGGGCATTGACAGGCATCACTGATGGGCACTGAAATGCAGCACTCATATATGGCACTGATAGGCGGCACTGATAGGTGGCACTGATAGGCAGCACTGACTGGCACTGTTAGGCGACACTGATTGGCAGTACTGATAGGTTGCACTGACTGGCACTAATAGGTGACACTGAAAGGCACATTGATGTGCACTGGTAGGCACTGATATGTGGCATTGATGAGGCACTGATGGGCACTAGCAGGTGGCATTGATGAGCACTGACAGCTGGCATTGATAGGTGGCACTGCTAGGGCTACACTGATCATCAGGGCACACTGATCATCAGTGCCCTGATGATCAGTGTATATGTCCTCTCTGTGGAATGCCGATTACTGGCTCTCCTCTCCTCTCGAGCTGTCAACGTGGCAGCTCGTGAGGAGAGAAATGCCGATAACCAGCATTTCCCTATTTACATGCGATCAGCTGTGATTGGACACAGCTGATCACATGACCAAGCTGACATCTTTGGCTCTTTCCATTGATCGGTGATCCCCTGTGTGATCCGCGAGGGACACATTGCACCACTGACCGCAGCTCTGCGCGCTCCCGGAGCCGCGCACACATGGTTATAGTGGGAGGACGTCATATGACATCCTCCCAGAATGAGAGAACCACCTTGCAACCGTCATGACCTTATATGGCGGATGGGAGGCGGTTAAAGAATTGAGCTCTGTCATTTCAAAGCCTTAGTTTCTAATTTTTAGGGACTTTTTAATGACTGGCATAGTACTGCTGAATTAGGCCAATGTGCTGCCTATATTTAAAAAGGTATCATAGTCTTTACCAAGAAAGTATAGATCTGTTAGCTTTACTTCTATAGTCAGGAAGATACTGGAGAGTTTAACAAAAGACCCCATAGATGGGTTCTTGCTGGACACAAATATTTTAAGCAACAGAAAGCATGGACTCATGAAAGACAGAAGTTCTCAAACAAATCTGATTTCTTTTTATGAGGAGGTAAGCAAGACCTTGGATAGAGGTGAATTTTGCAAACGTGTTTGATACACTTCCCCAAATAGGCTAATGTGTAAAGTCTACAAGCTTGTAAAAATCTATTGGATCAAAATGGATCAAAAACTGGCTAAAAGACCGAATTTAGAGAGTAGTGGTTAATGATTCATACTCTGAATGGTCTAGGGTTGTTAGTGGTGAACCCCAAGGTTCAGTGTTGGGACCTTTACTTTTAATATATTTAAAGGGGTGGACTGACAACTCATGGGGCCCTGGGCAATAGGGGATCATGGAGCCCTTGTGTCCTTGCCCAAACTCCAAAAAACCTATGAAAAAGGTACCAGGAGCATCTCATGGGGCCCCCTACTGACCCTGGGCCCTCGGGCAGTGCCCGAGTTTCCAAATGGTCAGTACGCCCCTGTTTATAAATGATACCAGGTTTAGGATTAAAAGTACCATTTCAGTCTTTGCAGATGACACCAAGCTGTGCAGTGGTATAATGTCCTTACAGGATGTCTCTGGCTTACAAGCCGATCTCAATGCACTATTTAATTGGGGAACTATGTGGCAAATGAGGTTTAATGTTGATAAATGTAAGGCTATGCACTTGGGGGCTAAGAATATGCATGCATCATACAAACAAGGGGTAGTACAACTAGAGGAATCAATGGTGGAGAAGGATCTGGGAGTTCTGGTAGACCACAAGCTTAATAATGGCATGCAATGCCAAGCTGAGGTTTATGTAAAGTAAGCAATATCCTCTCTTGTATTAAAAAAGGTATAGACTCCAGAGAGAGAGATATCATTTTACCCCTGTACAAATCATTAGTAAAACCTCATCTGGAATATGCAGTTCAGTTTTGGGCACCAATTCACAAAAAAGAATATTGGGGAACTGGCAAAAGTGCAGAGATGTAATACTATACACTGTCACTGTACTAATGATACTAGCTAGGAAGGGATCAACATCTAGGGCAATCAGGGGTTAATTATGTGCCTAACTATGTGTATTGTATGTAAAGTGTGCTTCCTATGTACAGAGCTCTGTGTTGTCAACACAGAGCTCTGGGCTGTGATCCTACACAGCCGATCAGCAGGTCCTGGCCATGGATCATTGGCCAGGACTTGCTGGCAGACACCCGCTGTGTTCAATCACAGTGGGTGCTGGGGGGGCTGGAGCACATGTGGACTTGATACCCGGAAGTGGGCAGTGACGTACCTGTATGTCGCTTTACAGCCACCCGTTCACAGTACATTGTGGGCGGGGCGGGCAGTCATAAAGAAGTTTTAGTAAAGTGGGGGATGGCTAAAACCCGTCAGCTTTTTACTTCTGTGTTCCTGCTGTAGAATTTCTTTTGTCACAGAGGCAGTAAGAGGGGGAAAATAACTCTAACAGAGCCATGAATAGGGATTCTAATCCTACCCCCATTCCATTTAAAATTAAAAGCAATAAAATAATAAAGCTTTGGTACTTTAGACAGGCTCATCTGATAATAATTTACTCAAAGTGAATATTATCCTTTCAGCTTTGTTGATATTTGTTTGCTTCTGAACTTTGCACAGAAATGTTCATTTAACAGACATGAAAATAAACCTTTAAATAAAATACTACCTAAATCCAAGACTATTGAAAGAAAAATAGTTTTAACTTGTGGAACAAGCAAAAATGCCTTAGATGGAAAGGATAAAGTTGATAATGCTTGATAAATTTGAAAATCATTTTATATTTTCAAAAAAATGTGTCTATAGTACTGTCTATTTTTCTAAATGGGATCTGCAGGAATGCATAAGTAAAATGTTCTAGGAAGTGTTCAGTACCTGAACTGTACTAAGCTGCAGAACTATAGGCAGTGGGGAGCAAGGGTGGCTTCTACATAGCTATGGTATTATGGGAAGGTGGAATCACTGTACTATTAGTACTAGCCACTATGGGGTTTATTTACCAAAGCTGGAGAGGCTCACTTCTGCATAGAAACCAACCAGCTTCTAACGTTGGCTTGTTCAATTAAGTTTTGGCAATACAACCTGGGAGCTGATTGGTTTCTATGGAGAAGTGAGTCTGATTTTGCATTCTCCTGCTTTAGTAAATAAACCTCTACTGTATATGTCTACAGCAAGGCTGTTGATCTAAGCATATGGAAGGTAGGGATGTCCTTGATATTCAACTCGAACATTTGGTGTTCGTGTGTTCTGCGAACACATGAATGTAAGAGTTTTCGGTAGGCTCTTCACCCATCAAGCCCTCCACAATGTGCTGTGCTCTGACAGTGCAATGTGATTGGACAAAGCCAATCAGGTGCAATGCTTTGGCCAATCACAGCACAATTGGGTGGAGCTATCAGTGACATCACCTCTAGCTCTGCCCAATTGTTTACATCAGACCGGCAAATGTCAGATGCGCAAGTGCTCGGCAGGTGCGGACAGGTCTGCAGGCATCGGGGTTTTTTTTTATTTTGATGGATCAACATCATTGTGACAATGCTGGATGCCATTATTGATGATGGATTACATCAATGGAACCATTTTTTGGTCTTTTTTTAATAAAGGACTTGTCAAATACTGTCTACTGGCATTTTTTATGCTACATTTTTTTTTTGTGAATGAGTAGAGGTACCATGTATCCCATATTTATTCACCACATGGGGGGGTTGGGATCTTGGGGCCCCCTTCTTAAAGGGGGCTTCCAGATTCCAATAAGTCCCCACCTGCAGACCCCCACAACCACAGGCCAGGGTTGTGGGGAAGAGGCCCTTGTTACCATCAACATGAGGACAAGGTGCTTTGGGGGGCTGAGAGTCTCCCTGCCCAAAAGAACCCCCCATGTTGAAGACACATGGCCTGGTATGGATCAGGAGAGGGGGGGATGCTCATTCATCCCCCTTCTTATCTGGCCTGCCAGGCTTGTGCTTGGATCAAGGGTCTGGTAGGAATTTAGAGGGGACCCCACACTTTTTCGTCCCATTTTTTCAGGGGTGCGGTTCCCCTTAAAAGTCCTACCAAGCCTGAAGGGGGAACTTTAAAAAAAATGTTTTTACTGTGGGGTCCCTCCTAACCTTTCTACCAGACCTATAGGGTCTGGTAAGGATTGTGCAACTTTGCAGGTATTTTAAGAGGACTCCCCCAGACATGATATTTAAAGGAATTTGGGGGCAATTCACTAAGTGGTATCTTACCACATCCGAGGTTGGCATTCACTAGGAAACGCTACTAAAATACTGCATGAGTTATTTTATTAAGTCATGTGGTATTTTAGTAGTGAAAACATACATTAAAGTGTTTCTAAACCCAGGACCTTGCATTCACTATATCTGGTCTCCCACAGTACACAGAACATGGAAATGCAATTATTTTAGTAAATATAAACTGCTAAATACCTTTTCTTATTAGCAATTAGAGCAGTCTTGTGAATTCTAACAGTGTCCAGCAGAGCACATGCTAAAGCTTGTGAGAGGAGTTTCTTCTGGTCTAGCAGGATACAATACTCCCGACCTCTGTATGGACAGTTCTGATTGGCAGAACATTTGTTTCAGCAATACACACTAAACTGAGCATGTGCAGAGTGTCTGCACACATATGTCTTATCAGGAGATAAGAGGGAGACACTGGAAGAAGGAGAGGATCAGAGAATTCAGGATCAAACAGCATTTTTAAACAATTAAGAGGATTAAACCCTTAGGTTCTATAGTGAGTATAACAAGCATGCTTTACTGCATATGCAGAATGATTTTACTATTGTGGGTTTAGTTACACTTTAATGTTTCAGCTGTCAATGGAGTTTACCACTGACAGCAGAATGTAAAAAGAATTGTTGGCAATTAAAAATTTAGCAAAAAAAAAGTCATGCTTCCCCGCCCCCATCCATACCAAGCCCTTTGGGTCTGGTATGAATTTTGAGGGGAACCACCAAGCCAAAATGAAAAGAAATGGTGTGGGGTTCCCCCAAAATCCATGGCAGACCCTCATCTGAGCATGCAGCCCGGCAGGTCAGGAAAGGATGGGGGGGACGAGTGAGCCCTCAACAATGGGGGGGGGGGTTTGGGGAAAAGCACTTTGTCATCATGTTGATGGGGACAAGGGCCTCTTCCTCACAACCCTGGTCTGTGGTTGTGGGGCTTTGTGGTCGGGGGCTTATTGGAATCTGGAAGCCACTTTGAAAAGGGGGCCCTCAGTTTCCGCCCTCTCCATGTACATGAGTATAGGGTACATGGTACTGCTACTCATTCAGACAATAAAAAGTGCAGTGTAAAATATGACAGTAGACAGTCTTTGGCAAGTTCTTTATTAAAACAAGAAAAACAAAAGAATGCCGCCGAAGCAGATCCAACGTAAATCACAATGCCCTTCGCTGCTGCTCCTCTCTCGACTCTGGCTCCCACCGTCTGACAGCTCTGCCGACCTAACAGTTCTGACATCAACTGGGTGACCCTGCCTCCTTGTGACATCATCCACCAGCATGCCCCGGGTGATGACATCACAAGGGGGGGTGCGGCCCATCACTAATGGAAGGAGCTTATTAGTGTTTTATTAGTATAATGTGA